AGTTTCAACACACCTCAGAAGCTTCTCGTCAAGAGGCGCGCCCTGCGAGACGGACACCGGGAGGGAGGCGCGGCGTGGTTGCGGACTTGCGACGGCTGTGCGCTTTGTTGCGGCTGCCATGTCTCATACCATGAATTCTTCCTTACAAATCCTGTGTGGACGTCGTTTTGCGGAAGCACGACAAGTATAGACATAGTGTCGGGGAGTCTCTGCCCTATACAAGGGCTAGTCGCGAGCTGAACGGCCAGAGCACACGAAAACATGCGCCGTGCCTGCTATGTGTCACCTCGTGCTACTTTCTTGCATGTTTCTGTAGGAGAGGCGATTGGAAAATGAGCAGCATAGTGGTTCTTAACTACATCTAAAGCGAAGCACATGTCACCCTCAGAGCGTGCCAACCGACTGTGCATTTTCCGTGGCTGACCTTTCGGTGCTCACAGTGACATTGCAGAAGTCTCCATACAACTTGGGCCAACTACCACAATATCAACTCAACAGCAATGAAGAATATACTTGCAAGAAGTTTGAACGCGCCCCACAAGCTTTTGCAATATTCATTTCCCACATAAACCTTTACAAGGCAAACCGAGCCTTCTTATAGCTACGCATGTGCTATTTACCAATTTGCAGCCCACTAGCTCGTAGGTCTCCCTCTTTGCCCAGCCATCATGCCAGGGAACCTTGGCATTGTTGAGGATCACTTCTTCAGCGTCGCCCATGATGACCAGAGACAGGTGTGCCTCTGTTGGTCCTATGGAAGGAGGACATACCATGACGACCAGCCAGAGCTCATCCATGCAAGATGGCCAAACCAGTCCATAGCAAACAGATACTGGGTTGCCCATGGGGAAACATCGCAGTTTTGGCGAGTGGTCCAGTGGTCCATGGATGGCGCGACTGGGTGAGGAACATTAGCCGCAACTTCACAGATGCCTACACCATCCAGATCTGCTTCGGGCGGACGCGCTAGACCCAACCAACTGTGTGTCTCATACCGTGACTTCTTCCTGATAAATTCTGTGTGGACGTCGTTCTGCGGAAGCACAACGCTATCCTTGCTGTGTACAAAGACTTGTCGCGAGCCGAACAGCGAGAGTCTACAGTGCCTGCTGTGTGTCACCTCACGCTACTTTGTCGCGTTTTTCTCTGAGACAGGCAATTACTCAATGACAAGCATCGTGGTTGGTTAACTACATCCTAGAAAAGCTGTGTCCTGGAGTGAAGTAAACGTTTTTGCTCGGAAGATATATATCCATGGATGCCTTTCCTCTCACAGGTCACTGCTTCGAGACGCTTCTTGGCGTGGCTGCCTCAGCATTTTCTGCGTTCATTCCAGCTCGGATTTTAACCTCGCGCTACTTTGTTGCGTGTTTCTGTAGGAGAGGCGATTAGAAAATGAACAGCATAGTGGTTCTTAACTACATCTAGAGCGAAGCACATGTCACCCTCAGAGCGCCTGCGCCAACAGACTGTGTATTTTCCGTGGCTGACCTGTCGGTGCTGACAGTGACATTGCAGAAGTCTCCATACAACTTGAGCCAACTACCAAAATATCTACTCAACAGCAGTGACGAATATACTTGGAAGAAGTTTCACGGAACCCACAAGCTTTTGCAATATTCATATCGCACATGAACCAGAGCCTTCTTATGGCTACGCATGCGCTATTTACTACTTTGCAGCCCACTAGCTCGTAGGTCTTCCTCTTTGCCCAGCCATCATGCCAGAAAACCTTGGCATGGTTGACGACCACTTCTTCAGCGTCAACCAGGATGACCAGAGGCAGATGATTCACACGTTATTGTTCAGTCTGCAGTGCAGCATGTGGTGATGCAATTGTTGAGATGGCAAAGCCAGCACGCTGGCTAGCATCATAGTTGAAGCGGGTAAGCCAGCAAGCTGGCTGCCATTGTCCAGATGGCAAAGCCAGCATGCTGGCTGCCATCATAGTTGAAGTGGGTATGAGCCAGCACGCTGGCTACCATCATAGTTGAAGTGGGTAAGCCAGCACGCTGGCTGCCATTATTGAGATGGCAAAGCCAGCACGCTGGCTACCATCATAGTTGAAGTGGGTAAGCCAGCACGCTGGCTGCCATTGTCCCCTTACCAGCAGCCCAAATGCTCACGACGATGAGCTGGGCTGTCACCGCTTGGCCGCCGGTGGGGGGTTTGGGAGGCCGCATCACACACAGACACCCACACACTCCCTCAACTTACACGAACACACACATACGCAGACTCATTTCCACACGGACATAGACACACGCACAGAAACCCACACACTACCTCAACTCACTCGACTTCACACTTCTCACTGCACACTTACCGGATAACTCGCACTCTGACTTCCTACGTGATGAAAAATGCTTTCGGGCCACTCGTCGTCTAGTTTGATTTCATGGTGGTTCTCCATGATACTTCCCCCAAACCTTTTTCCTTCCGCCACCTTCAGCTGCCGCGCGTTCGCGAACTGCAGATGTACAAACCATTGTTGAAACATCTTCAAGTGCTCCGACCTTTTCACTTTTCGGTTCCATCGCCATTTTGCCTGGGAATTGAGTTACTGAAAACCAATGTCAGAGTGTGTAACCCTTGGAGTCACAGGGATCCTGTTGGATTGTTACTTGTTGCATGCGTTTTCACAGCAGGGGGTAGCGGCAGATCAATTGGGACCGCTACCAACGAAGATGCCCATTTGATCTGGCGATATCAGAGTTGGCCACTCTGACGTACCTGCTTTCCTTTTGTGGTGTTCACAAGCTGTGACTCTACTCTTCCTTAAAGGGCTAGTGCACGCTGCAGACAAGAGCGCACGACGTCATCTCGACCTGTTCGCCGCCTCGTTGAGCATGAGTCTTGGCCTTTAACTACAGGTACCCAGGCCCCTCTCCCTTGACCTTTCAGGATGAGCGGGCGGAGTAGGCTTGCGCCAAAGTCATTTGCCAAGACTTGATGGATTATTGAATTCTAAGCTAGCTCTACGCCGAAACGTGACCGCAGCGGTCCAAGCTGGCTTATTAGGTTCATTGGAACCTGGCAAGACCTTAATCCCCATCCCCTTCCTGCCCCCTACCCTCCCCCTCTTCCTTCTTTGCCTTTGGGGCGTTCCTGAATGTAACACTCAGGTACACCCTTCTCCCTGGTGTCACTGGACGCTTGCTCCTAGCTGGGAACACCTGTCCACTTCCTTTTCTTTCTGTCTTCTTTTCTTTTCTTTTCTTTTCTTGTCTTTTCTTTTCTTTTCTTTCTTTTTTGTTTGTGTGTTTATTTCTTTGTTTGTTTGGTTGTTTGTTTGTCCGTTTCTTTCTTTCTGTCTTTCTTTCTTTCTTTCTTGTCTTTCTGTCTTTCTTTCTTTGTTTATTTCTTTCTTTCTTTCTTGCGTTTCTTTCTTTCTTTCTGTCTGTCTGTCTGTCTTTCTTTCTTTCTGTCGTTCGTTCGTTCGTTCTTTCTTTCTTTCCTTCCTTCCTTCTTTCTTTCTTTCTTTCTCTCTGTCTCTCTCTCTCTCTCTCTCTTTCTTTCTCTCTTTCTTTCTTTCTGTCTGTCTTTCTTTCTTTCTGTCTGTCTTTCTTTCTTTCTTTCCCTCTTTCTTTCTTTCTTTCTGTCTGTCTGTCTTTCTTTCTTTCTTTCTGTTTTTCTCTCTCTCTCTCTCTTTTTATCTTTCTTTTCTTTCCCCTTCCTTCTTGTTTGGGTGTCCCTGGACACTTTCGTCATAGCTGGAAACCCTTCTCTTCTTCTCTTGGTGTGTCCTTGGACGCTTGTGTCGTAGCTGGGAACACCTTCGTTTCCTTTCTTTTCCTTTTTTTTTCTTCTCTTCTCTCTTCTCTCCCTACCCCTCCCTCCCTCGCGCACGGCGTGTTAACATAGAAACGATGCTTTGCAACCGGTGTTCAATGAGTTTTGGTTTCATCGGCTTCTGTCCCCTTCATTTGGCTCCCCCTTTTTCATCCTGCTTTCCCCTTCACACACCTTTTCTTCTCGCTTTTCTTTCATGTCTTCCTGTCTTCATGTCTTGTCATCTCATCCTTTCTTTCGTTTGCGCACACATCGGTCCTGGCCTTAGTGTGTACATGCACATCCACCTGCACTTTAAACAACCCAGGCTTCAGGTCACCCAGGTTTGATAATGAGGTGGGGTTCAGTGTTTGTCTCTGTGCACTTGGTTCCTTTTCATCGCAACCACATACACGTTTGTCCTGTCCTCCTTTCATATCCTCATCTTTTTGTCCTTGCTGCGCGCACACATGCACATTTGTCTTAACCTTAGTTTTTTGCCTCCCCTCGGGGAGGCGTGTGTGTAACCCTTGGAGTCACAGGGATCCTGTTGGGTTGTTACTTGTTGCATGCGTTTTCACAGCAGGGGGTAGCGGCAGATCAATTGGGACCGCTACCAACGAAGATGCCCATTTGATCTGGCGATATCAGAGTTGGCCACTCTGACGTACCTGCTTTCCTTTTGTGGTGTTCACAAGCTGTGACTCTACTCTTCCTTAAAGGGCTAGTGCACGCGGCAAACAAGAGCGTTCGACGTCATCTCAACCTGATCGTCGCCTCATTGAGCTTGAGTCTTGGCCTTTAACTACAGGTACCCAGGCCCCTCTCTCTTGACCTTTCAGGATTCTGGTTCCTTAGGTTGCCGTGTGGCGAGCGGCATTCAAGTCAGTACGCATTTCTATATATATATATGTGTGTGTGTGTGTGGATGAAAAGGGAAAGTAGACCTGTGGATTTCCACAAGTGCTTGATGACTTTTCCCACAAGCCACCTTAAGTGTCTGGATCCGAATTCATAATATAGTTACTCGTCCATCGCTGAAGCGTGTTCGTAGAAGTTGATCTTGGAAGTGAGGAAAACGGCTTCAACCTGCCGGGCCCTTGCAGTCCTTGCATGTTCCCCTTATGCCCTCAGGTTGGAGGCCATCTCTAGTAGGAGACCATCGCTATTAGGTTGGAGGCCATCGCAAGTATGTTCCTCCCCTTATGCCCGAGACGAGCCGGCCCGGCGTGGAGAGGCCGATGACAAACTGACGCAAGTCCAACCTCAGAAGGTGGACCGTCGTCCAAAGGGGCCAAAAGGAAAGCTTCGGGTTCTCCAAGAGATCCAAAGGAGATTTGACCTCAAGAGTTTCGCCCCCCGAAAGACTTGGAGTCTGAACACCTGTGGGAGCTTTGGGGATGGTTACTCGGAGTCTAGCTCCAAGGAAAATACCAAGTTGGCCCCAAAGGTGGGCGGAACATGGTGGAACTGGTTTCCGCAAACACTCAACACCAAACAGGGGGTTGGTGACATCCAGAAAGATTTGGGGGGGGCAGCTTCCAAAAATATCTCGGACAAAGCGATAGCTAGCAGTTGAGGCTCTTCCGGCCAAGTCCGAAAGGATATATAATGCTTTTGGAGTATCTTGGAGCAATGACTGAAGAGGCTACTCAAGAAGTTGGCATGTGCTCAAGTAGCTGGCGGAAACCAACCACAAGAAGTCTCCTGAAACAGACCCAAAATGGGTCGCATTGGAGGGGTGGAATCCCGCATCTTTCTGCAACCAGGTTGCTGGCATCAAAGTACAGCAAGCAGTCAACCAAACACCGACACCAACTCCGTCCCCACTTCTGTCTTGCCCTGCCCATCCGGCTTCCCTCGAGCGCCCGGGCTCTCCTTCGCGGTCGGCGTCAAAGGCATCGAAGATCTCCCGCATCTCTGGGGAGGGCTTCTGGGCCAAGAGTTCGGCTGCAGTTCTACTGTACAATGGTTTCAGAGTAGATGGCCTTGGGCCCCCAAGGATGTCTTTTGGATGGGGGGGTCCACATGCACCTCAATCCACTAGATGTATTTTGTCAGATTGGTGCCACAAAGCTCGGGGGGTTCGGCCCGTCTCACACCCGACATCGGCTGGTCGGAAAAGAGAAGCTCTTCCAGTCAGAAGATGCACGCTTTGAGCGACGCTGGTTCGTTTCTCTTGGATCACCTGAGATCTGATCGCGAATGTCGGTCCGATACTAACCCTCTCTCTGCCTTGCTGAAGACCTTGCAGAAAGCCTGCCAACTCAACATAGAGGGCAACTCCGAGACTCGTGGCTCACCGGTCATTGCCAGAGGCTAAACAACTGCTCTTTGCACAGAGTGACGCTGAATCGACACGAAAGCTTGGCTCAGGGTCTCGTCTGCCCCCAGCCTCAAAGCTCATGAAGCCAGTGTCTTTGGTGTCGATTTCAACGAAGGTTTGGTAGACATCACGGATAAACTCCTTGGCACACGGTGTGAAACTCAACAAATTGGGACTCTAAGTTTGGATGATGTGAGACAGGAGCAAGGCAAACATTTATCATCAACGACAATCAATCATTTTAAAATTGTCAATCAAATATACATGTACAGTAGTATTAATTGTTCCCAAATGTGGCAACTAGCTCACAGGTTTGGTGATTGGGTGGTTGACGAACTATAGGCAGGTCAAGCCACTGGAGTGATGCCGTGCTTGGCCAACTCTTTGACATAGGGCGCCCGTGGATCACCTTCTGCATGTTCCTCCCGCGAGGGACGCGAGGGCATGCCGCTCGGATGTTACGCGTGCCTATCGGAAAACCCCAGACGGATGGTGCAAATGATCAGGGTCGATCCATGTCACTTGAGTAGATTTGGACCAAAAGCATGTCACTTGGGGCACGTAACAGTCCCTTGTGAGGCCAACTCCGCCAACTCCAGCCTTCAAGGTGAACTTCTTTTTCCGGCTCTCCAAGCGCGCCAACGCAGGAGTGGCATCTCCACCGTCCACCAAAGCCAGGGTGTCTGGGGGCGGCGGCTCCTCCTCTTCCTCCTCGCAGTGCTACCCGAGAAAAGAACTTGTGAACTGTTGTTGCACGCGTAGACGCACAACATTGGTAGAAAGGGTTTCAATCCCTTCGCCATCGAGTGGTCGCACATGCGAAATTTCGGACGGTTTGGGGCCTTTGGGCAATGCCACAAAAGTTTGAAGCAACATGTTAAACATGTTGCAATCTTTGGTCGAATGCCACACCAAACCAACTGGAAAGGATGAAGTCTATGAAGGTTTTTCACTCGCATAGAAAGAGCATCCATGGGCTGCTTGAGATTCGTGGTGTGTTCCAAGCCAGTAGTTATTCCTGTACTCAGTAATTGGTAGATTGCGTTCGGGGAAGCAAGTGTTGAAAAAGCGGAGCGACGAATGGTCTGACTATGTCTGATTCTTTCGATCCCTGGAATTCCGAGGTCATCTTGCAGCATCAGCCACATCTGCACCATCTTCGAGAGGGACCGGCCAGCCACACATATCACAAGTATCACACGTCCCCGGCCAGCCTCGTCGGGCGCCTCTCCAAAGCCGCCCCGGCGGTGCAGGTCGAAGTTCCGAAAGAGCCTCCACCGGTCCACCAGTGGAAGAGTGGAAGAGCTCTGCCATTGGAAAAGGTTGAGAAGATGGGGTGTATCAGGTTGGAGGCCATCGCTAGTGGAGGCTGCTTCTAGGTAGGGGGGCGCGGCCCTTTAAAACATTGCTCATTTCCTTATGGTTGGACTGGTGGAGCTTGGGGGTGTGAAGTCCTGATGACTTAAAGTATCGATCAAACATGCACAGCATCCCAAAAAATAGACAAACCTCAAACCATCGCAGTTTGCCCCATAAGTGCCAAATACCTGTCCATTGATGTACTTTGGTTCCAAGCAGATCAACCCCCCAATCCTCCTCCATTTGTGGTAACCAAAGGCCACACCTTTCCCCACTGGCCACCCAGGCACGGAGGCGGCTCCACGAAATATCTGCGGAACTCTGCGAACTCGATCGAGCCACTGCCGTCCTCGGTGTTCACGGTCATGAAGAGACACACGAGCCTTCTTTTCCCCAACAGTGAAGCTTAGGGGTCTTCAGCCATAGCAGATTGGAACAGGTCCCTGACCAGGTTCCAGAGCAAGTGCTGGAGGATGGTGCCCAGCAGGAGTCCGGAGCAGGAGTTCGCAGGAGGTTCAAGAGGGAGCCGGTTCCGGAGCAGCTTCGGAAGTTCGGGACTAAACGTTCCGGGCAGGGCCAAAAAAGGTTCCGGGCGAATCCCCGGCCCGGAGCGGCTCCAGTTCCACAAGAAGGTAAGTTCCCAGCAGTTGCGCTAAAACGCTGTCATGTGGTCATGCTGAGTTTGTCACAGCGTTGCGCTACAGTAACAAGTCATCACGCTGGCATGTTGTCCTGCCGCCAGACCACGCATTGTAACATGTTGTCTCTGAGTCATCCTAGCTTGAAAACAGGCTGGCATGCTGACTTGCTGCGTTTGCTGATGTGCCAACATGTTGCCATGCTGACATGCTGAGGTGAGGTGTTGTCAATCTTATATGATATTATATTATATTGTATGCTCATGTGGTGGTGTCGTGTCGGTGTGGTGTCATGCTAACATGCTGACACTTGTCTCGCTTACATGCTGACACATGTTCACGCTGAGATTCTGATGCCGAGTCGTGCTGTCTTGCTGGCACGACATGTCGGCAGGCTCCATGTGGTTCTGGAGCAAGTTCCCTGGTTCTTGCTTGTTGTGGCGTTGTCATTGCACACAGTGAAACGGCTCACATGTTTGGAAAGCACGAACACAACACTGTTGGTGAACTTGCCGGATTCATGTCCAGCTGTTGGGGGATGTTTCTTGGGCTTTTGGGATCTTCCTTTGAAGGAGCTGTGTAGCCGCTAGTGTAGCCCCTTGCAAGTTCCTTCTTTTTCCTCCCAAAGGCTTTTTACGTAGCTCTTTTCGCCAGGAACAATCAGGGAGAACATAAGTTGCCCGTCCCTTTCAGACACACTCTGTCGCAGGGTTGATCCGAGCATCAGGATCCATGAGACGGATCATCTCTTGGATCTCAGCGTCCGTGGGCTCTGGCTCCCCACAAAGCCTGGCTCGAGCTTCCCCTTTGAGAAAATCTCCAGGATCGAAACATGCTTTCTTCGACTTGGAGCTTTGTCCACCTCACCATACCTCACCGGGTCGCGCGTGCAACCGAGCAGCTGCAAGGCGCGTCGGAGGTCCGTGGCACCGATCTCACCGTGGCGGTCGAGGTCGATGATTTCAAAGGCCACCTTTCGAGGTCGGCGTCGTTCTCTTCGAGTCCAAGAATTCTGGGTCGCTGTGCCATGGCGCCATGGACTCCAATGGCAAGATGGGTGACCTTTCCCTGGTTGACTTGGGAAGAGACCCTTGAAACGACGACTGTTTACTCTAAAATCCCCAAGGAGGTTCGCCAGTCAAGGTCAGATAGCTTGTTCCTTGACGCGGCAATGACCAGCAGAAAATCCATCACACTTTCAAGGATACCCTTGTCACCTGCATTTGGCCAATGTTGGCCACCTCTGAAACTAAGTGGACATTAGATACCAATATTGTCTGAAGTTTTGGCTAATTTCTAGATATTGCTAGGATTGTTTGTGACTTCACCAGCGTCTGGCAACTGAAGGACTTCGCCAGGAAAATCTCGCGCCGCCTGCAACTCATCGTCGTGGTAAGGCCGCGCTTGAAGCCCTGGAATCTCGAAGGCCTCCCATCTGGGTGTCGTGTACCACCTCTGCAGTTCACCATCTGGGGTGTTTTGATGTGTCTTTTTGAAGCCTTCAGATCCTTGACTCGGTGTGGGGTTGTGGGGTGTGTCGTCTTTATCTGCCCGAGCTGCGAGTGTTCGGTTGATGTGACTTCGGGAGACGAGAAGGCGGAGACCCCACATCTACTCTCCGTACAATGGTGGTACCTCCTGCCCTGGGGGCTCCAAAAGCTTGACGCCTCGACACGAAAAACGTTCACGAGTCTTGCCAAGATGTCAGGAACATGCCTGCTGCATCTGGACTCTGGGTCTCGCCTTTTTGCTATCCATCTTCTGTGGTGCCTTCTTGACCTGGAGCAAACAGCGTGACTTGAGACGGAAAGCGAGAGAGCCAGAAAGTCGCAAAACACATACACTCCCTGAAACAAACATGGAAGTGGACAATCCCCTGTTTGTAGAGGAAAATCGTGTTCCAGGAGAACAGTCCACTTCCATGAGGATGTTGGAGGGAGGGTAATGAATTGTGAAGTGTTCCAGCGATGTCAACCCCCCCCGGTGGAGCACCTTCGGCATCAGGTCACTGAACTTCTGCGTTGTGCCCGTTCGGCAAACTGAAGCAAACCCGCAACGGCACCCTTCCTCTTCTTATACCTAAGCCAGCCACCTGGGAGCCCGGATTCCGCAATTTCGGCCTTCTACATGTCTCAAGGACCGGTTGGGGGTGGTTGGGCTGCCCGTGGCGGCGCTGCCTTCGAGGCAGAGGCCGGCTTGTTGGATGAGGCGGCCATGACCGCCAACGCCATGATGCCGAGTCACCCTTTGTGAAGGCTGAGATGAGGACCAAGGCAAAGACCAGGTAAGGCCGGGGAGGTGAGTTGGGTGAGTTGGGCAGGGTGGGTGGGGTGGTGGGGTGGTGGTGGGGTGGTGGGGTAGTGGGGTGGGTGGTATAATGCTAGGGCTTGGAAAACAAAAAACAACTAGGAACTAGTGTCCACAAACATTCAGGACGACATCAACCACAGAAATCCTTCAGAACTCATTGCATTGCTTTTTTGCTCGAGCCATTCAGCATGACAAGCACATGGCATCTCAACCCATGACCACCCCAAGCACGGATTTTTGGTTGATGGATGTTGATGGTGACAATCGGTCAGAGGAGGCGCCCCTCTCCACCTCTCTCAGAGTGAAGACTCGAGGCCACGACAGCTCTCGTTGCGTTTCCCTTCACTGGCCCCTGCCCCTGCCCTGATTTTCCCACACCGGGCGCAAGCGCGAACTGCTAGGCTTCCCTCATCCAATGATTGCCGCTTCCGTACCAGAGTTGCAAACTGGACATTCGGGGCCACCTGATCTTTGGCGAGGGTAGCTCGACGTAGGGTGAAACCTGACCGGCCTTCTCATGCAGCAGCCTGTGGCTAAAAATAATCGTCCGACCTCCTTTAAATAAAAGAAAGACGTGCTGCTGCACCAATCCGATTCTGGCGCAGCTGCGTGGCTGCCGCCATGTTTCGCAGCACAGCTGGCCTGACTCTTCCTTAAGTAGTGTGGCACAGCAGCTTGTCCACAAATGCTTGTCACTTTGTTGGCCTGCAAACTACCACCAAAGCATGTAGTGTTTGCAAGCCTTTACTTACTGAAGCGGAAATTGGAGTGTTGCTCTACAGGCCAGTGTCAAGCACTCTACCTGGCCTCCAACCTCGCTGACTTCTGTCACTGCTCATCCTATGATTATGTGTTGGCCAGGCTTTCAAAAGGCGTTCGTGCAACCAAATCCTGCATCTGTGTGCTTGTGAATTTAAGAGCTCGTCTTTTTTTGCCCAAGAATATTGAATAGTGGGAGTGACCAGCTGCCGTCGCGTCTCAAAATCCCAGCGCGCATTTTGCACAGCCAAGACTTTGGGAGATAATTATCTGCCGCAGGGACATCTTCACCTGCAGGCTCGCTGGAATGGCTGCGCACCTACGGACCTAAGGAAAATGAATCACAGAAACGGCAAACAGCAACTTGATTCTACACTTGCAGGATGAATGCGCTTGCAACACCTGCAAGAGAAGGCGCCTGCGAGCTTCTCATCGATGCAACAGCTCCGCAAGTTGCCTGCCCGGCTTCATGCTGAATTGATCAAACAATCGATTCCTATACTTGGGAGTCCCCAGCAAGAATCTAGCGTAAATACAGCACCTAGGACGCAGACCAGCAGAACTCCTCAGTTCTTCATCAGCCGAACTGACTGTACCGACTGGGCTTCAGGTCTTGGCCATTCTAGAGATGGCTCAAATGCTCCAAACGACACACAAATGTTCCAAACAATGGCAGCACGTGTCTCCAGCGGATCTCCCCACTATGGCCTTCCCGCAAAACCTAGCGGCTCCAGAACCTGACCAGTCGGACATAGCAAATGCTCAAATACCGAAGATCTTCAAACCAATGGGAGTGTACCCAAACTAACATAGTAGTAACTTGTACCCAAACTAACATAGTAGTAACTTAGTAGTAGCAACATCTTTCTTCTTCTTCTTCTTCTTCTTCTTCTGGCCCTAAACTTGAACTCCGCTCCAAAACTCACAGGTCGTAGCGATCTGGAGGGTTGACAGGCTGCATGTTCAAAGCCTTTCAAGCGCCTGTGTATGGATAGGGCTCATATCCTGTCATCCAACGACAACCACCAGCACTGCATCCCTTGGGAAGTGGCCCGTGCCCAGTGACCTGCATCGGTGGCGCCGGGTGGAGCGGCGCCACGTACTCTCGCACGTAGGTTGCCTGCGACCAGGTGGTGAACAGTCCAATGGTCACAAGCTGCCCGACGTGAAAGGGCACCGGAGACATGAAGGACTGCTTCTGCATGGTGAAAGCAACTCTTTCCCTCAGCACCTGGAGTACAGTAGGGCAAAGTTCTTCCTTAGAAGATCGGAAGGTCGGAAGATCAACTGATCCCAGAAAGCGCAAGCAACATCCAGCTAGCTGCCGCACGTACAACCCATGGGCTGCCTACAAGCCTACCAACTCCACGTGTCACCCATCTGCTGCCCAAGGCACCCTGGGCTGCGCTGCCCGTTGCGCATCAGTTAATGCGCGAAAGGACTGCTCCTTCACAAAGAAGAAAGCAGGCTGGAGAAACTGTTGAAGTAGGAGCTCCTGGCGTCCTTGCTCCTAGTAGCGATGCCAAGAGCCCCTAGTGGTTTTCTAATGAATAGAACAAACAAGCAAACAAACAAACAAAAAACAAACAAACAAACAAAAATCAAACAAACAAAAAACAAACAAGATGGAGCCCACGAACCCGAATGCAAACACGTTCAAAAAACTACATATGTCCAAATGACACTCTTGTAGGACACTCTTGTGGGACACTCTTGTGGGTCACTCTTGTAGGAAACTCTTGTGGGACGCTCTTACGGGACATTCTTGTGGGACACTCTTGTGGGACACTCCTGTAGGACACCCTTGTGGGATACTCTTGTGGGACACTCTTGTGGGACACTGTTGCGGGACACTCTTGTGGGACACTCTTCAGGGACACTCTTGTGAGACACTCTTGTGGGACACTCCTGTGGGACACTCATTTGGGACACTCTTGCGGGACACTCTTGTAGGACACTCTTAAGGGACACTCTTGGGAGACACTCTTGCGGGACACTGTTGCGGGACACTCTTGTGGGACACTCCCGTGGGACACTGATTTGGGACACTCTTGCGGGACACTCTTGTGGGACACTCTTGTAGGACACTCTTCCGGGACACTCTTGTTGCACACTCTTGTAGGACACTCTTGTGGGTCAC